ACTAGTTTATATTCTTCTATGTAATATAGATATCTATAATCTTCTAATCAAGTTAGTACATTGTATTACAGATATCTAACCCAATATAACAGAAGCAGGTTACAATTTAAATTAAAATTTTAAAGAAGATTATAAAATATACTAAAATATTGAAAATATTATAAAGTAAGAACTAGGGTTTTGCTATAAAACTATAAGAATAAATATTAGATAACAGTAACAAAAATTAAAAAACTACTACAAGTCTTTAGACTTAGTATAAATTACTGAAGCTTAAATCAGTTATATATAGAATATAAAAAGCTTTAGCAGATTTGCTTTTGAAAATAAAGAACTTTAGAATTTCTAAAAAAGTTTACTTTAAAATCTTAAGCTAAATATACAAAAATAAGTGATCATATGTGCCAATTTGTGGAATTGGTCCTTTTTTTAAAACCTCAAATTTATAATTTTGTACCCCTAAATTATTAATTAGTAAAATTTAATTGGTTAATTAATTAGTCAAATTATTGATGTACCTTAAACAAAACAAAAAATTTTAAGAGATATTGAGTCAAACCCATCACTCATTCTAAAAACCTATCACTTTTTAGAGATAAGCTAATTAAAATTTTTAGAAAATTTAACTTGTTAATAATAGTTATATAAAAATATGATATATATTTTTTTATTAACTTTTTTTTACTACAAATTTAGATGAATCAAGAAAATTTAACTTCAATTTGCAAGATTAAATATTCACTTTGTCAAAAAGAATTTAAAACTAATCGTGGACTTTCAAGACATAATAATACTATTCATAAATTAAATGAACCATCAAAAGAGCAAGAAAAAATACCAGATTTAATTGTTACTAAGATCAAAAATGATATTGTATATTTTATTCATCGACGATTTGGTAAGAATTCAAAAAATACCAGGCTTCAAGCAGTTTCTCTTACTTGTCTAGAAAGTATATTTCAAGTTATTTTCAAAGGTTATATTCATTGTTATAACAAACGAACTGAAGTTTCTAAATACATTTTTCATGGGTCTACTGGATATCAAGAATTGTCTAAAATTCTTAATAATGCTAATTGGGAAACTAAATATCATTCCCAGAATCAAAAAACTTATGTTCAATTAGTATCACACATAATTCAACTCAAGAATAGTATTTATTGATTCAATGTGCTCAAGAAAAAGCAACAAATATTACAATTAAGAATTTAAAAAAACAAGTTCAAAAACCAAATTATTCTTGTAGAGATATGATTATTGAATAGCGTGAAAAAAAAAATATATAATGCTAAAAAAAATATTTGTTAGGCGGAATTTATATATATTCACTTTTTATGGCTAAGAAATATTTTCAAAATTAAGAAGTATAATTACTAATAGTAAAAATACTTCAGTTATATTATTTTTTACTTTCAATTTATATTCGAATATTAGATATTATAAATTTTAATTTTATTAAAATTAGAATTATTTCATAAATTTTTATACAGTATAATTATATTAATTTAAAATTTTTATGCAAATAAAAATATATTTTATAATAATTTTATAAGTGATGAAATCAGTATAAGAGATAGTCTGTTAACAAGAAAGAAACTTTAATATATACATCAAACTTGATAAAGATAAAGAATAAAATTAATTATAAAAAAAATAAATATAAAAGATTCAGAAAAAAACCTGAAAGTAAGTATTTTTCATTTAGCTCTCTAAAAATTATTATATTACGTATTGGTAGTATATAAAATCAATATACACAATATACTCAATACACATATTTTGTAAAAATTTAACTTGTATATATACTTTTGTAATTTAGATTTTATATATTGCGTATTGATATTGATAATTGATATTATATATTATCTAGATAATGTCTTGTCAAAATATGATAATTTATATTTTTCTAGAAATAACTTATTGTTTAAAATATTTACTTCTATATTTTTTCTCTGTAGCACTCAATTATCAAAAATTTATAGAAATAATACATATTAATAAATCTAGATATCATTACTGAAATGGAATTGGCATTGAAAAATTTACGAATTTCAAATATTTATTAGTTATCAAATTCATATATTATTAGCCAAGCACCCATTAATTATTATCAATTCCATAGTGTTGTCATTTTAAATCATATCTAACTTTATACGACCAAGATAAATATAAGGTCATAATATATGATTAGCTGATAGATCACAATAGGCTATAGCCAATACTAAATTTCTAGAAATAGAATTTATTGGTAAAATATTTAAGCTTGAATTGGTATTGAGAAAAATCAAACAAGACATGTTTTTATTTTCCAATCAAAAAGATAGAGAATACTAGTAAATATATATAATTTTAGAAATTGTTATCAAAATGAGGTTAGATCTCAAAAATTGTATACTGTAGTTTTAAATATTGTATTTTCATAAACATGATGAATACTAATATAAGTCTAAATAAACAAAAGTATAGATTAATAGACAAGTGACGATAAAATACTATAACAATAGAAATGTTAACTTAGTGTTAAATTATGAAAGAACATTTGTCAAGA